GTCAGGACTTGAAGTGCACCCCTCGTGTCGACTTTGACATCTTGCATGCACACAGTGAGGGAGCAATGGTAACAAATCGTGTGTCCCTCTGTTTTTCCTCCGGGCCCGCGCAGGAATCAAGTGCTGGGCTATTTGCTGCCCTTCCGGCTACTGCTTCGTCCAAAGCATCGACGGCGGGTTCAGCGGCGACATCATGCTGAGGCCGTATGCGTGGTGTCTCATTGGGAAGTCGGCCCGCACAGTCATGTGCGTCCTACTCGAGGCGTGCGAGGCTTTCTCCGACAAAATCATCGGCTCCGGTGTTACCGTAGTGATGGACAACTTCTTCACAGGAGCCGCCCTGCTGCGATGCCTCGCTACGCGCGACGTTTTCGCCGTCAGGACGCGCGGCATTTTCGCCGTCAGGACTCTACGCGGCAACCGCACCCGAGTGGATCTCGCCAACTACATCTGGTCGAAGGAGGGCATGAAGGCGACGGAGCGTGGGCAGATGCTGACGGCCCGCTCGGACGAGCTCGTGATCGTCAAGTGGATCGACTCCAAGGAGGTGCACCTGATGTCGTCGAAGCATGTATTTGCGGTCGAGTGGAAACCTCTCGCTTACGAGTGAGTACAACCGTAAATCCATGCCGCGATGGTATTTTCTCCCGGACCTGCATCCAATCGTGGTGTACCGTGATACGTACATTCATTGCTGTCATGGTTTTCTCCCAACCAAGTTGTTTGTTGCAGACGGCATGGTAAATGTGGAACGCTATAGTTAGTTCGGTTTATCAGGGCCTGCTTCTCCGCTGGAAGTGAGCGTCTCCGCTGGAGGCGGACGCCTTCGGTTGTGAGAGTGAAACTTTGCTTCGCCTGCAGCACGGGCTAAGGTCACATGTGCACCACCCCCTCATGTACTTCTCTTTGGATCTACCTGACACGCCCGCCGATCTGCATTTTGAAAATCTTGACAGGAAGCGAGCTGCGCACAACAACGGCAAGAAAGTGTCGAGCAGTCAGCCACTAGCTCGCAAGGAGTACGTGAAGAACATGGGTGGTGTGGAAGTCGCGGATCAGCGGCTAGGGGCCCACGGCCACACGCACAAACCTATGACAGCCATTAGCTCGCAAGGAGTACGTGAAGAACATGAGTGGTGTGGAAGTCGCGGACCAGCGGCTAGGCGCCCACGCCCACACGCACAGGCCTATGATTCATGAGTACACCCCCCGCCCCCCACGACTGCGACATGCACAACTAGGAGCACATACACACCCCGATCGTTTTCTGGCGGCGGCGACATGATCACTTGCCGGTACTATTTTTGCACGTATCAGCATCACAATCGATAAACAACAAATTACTCACCTGTCACCTCCGACCAAGAGATGGGCTTGTACTTTCTCTCGGCGGCATGTTTCCTAGCGGTAACATGTGCTGCTGGTATTTGTGGCACATCGTGCACAGGATCAACGCCCGGTCCTTCCCCAACCCATGCGTGCAAGTATCACACCAGCATACACCCCGAGTCCCATTCCCCGTGTACCGGCTGGCCGTTGCCGTCTCTCGCAAATCTCCCCATAACATACAAGGGATGACTTTGCGCCCTTCACGCTGCACGTCTCAACAGGTTTTGTCGTGCATCTTGCCCCCGTCTCGGTGTGACCTACACTGCACAAGGACCCGAGGGGATTCGCGAGCCTACGGTCCCAGTCAACACGCTCCACCTTCATGGCCTTCTTGACGAGGGATTAAAACTCGCGAAGCTCTGCCACCGTGAGAACGCAACTGTCCGCAGTTGCTCCTCCCTCCCCGGCCTCCCCGGCCTCCCCGGCGTCACCGACTCCTCCGTCTTGGGTCGCTGCCTCCAACGCCGCCGTACACCGCGTGGCTAGCACCCCAGTCCATTCGTAAAACAGGAGCCACGCGTTGCTGACAGCTTACGAGAACTTTTGGTCGAAGACACTCCGCCAGAAGAACGTCATAGGCCTGTGCGTGTGGGCGTGGGCGCCTAGCCGCTGATCCGCGACTTCCAAACCACCTATGTTCTTCACGTACTCCTTGCGAGCTAGTGGCTGACTGCTCGACACTTTCTCGCCGTTGTTGTCCGCAGCTCGCTTCCTGTCAAGATTTGCAAAAAGCAGATCGGCGGGCGTGTCAGGTAGATCCAAAGAGAAGTACATGAGGGGGTGATGCACATGTGACCTTAGCCCGTGCTGCAGGCGAAGCAAAGTTTCAATCTCACAACCGAAGGCGTCCAATAGCTGATTAGTCTAACGGTGTAACTTTATCATTCAAAAGATATGCTCAGAGCTCATTTACACCCGGCTGGATCACATTTTTGGGTTCGTGAGTAGAGATCTCCGGGGACGGACTCCTCGCCACAAGATGCTGCTATTAGCCGATAATGGTGCCTTGAAAGTGATCCACTGGGATTCGAACCCGTGCGTGAATCCTTTCTTGATTATAGGCTGACCATTTGACTTCATGCACAGTCATCAGAGTCTTCTCAAGGAACATGAAGGGGAGATCTCCCCCCTTCCCGTTGACGAAAGAACGCAAAACAGCTAGCCCTTGTTTGTCGACCTTCGGTAGACTCGCCTTCAGCTGATCCGATAGGCTGAACTTGTCGCCGCCGGGGTGTTTGTGCCGTCTCTTGTACGGGCCGGATGACTCGTCACGGGGTAGTCCCTCGAACACCCACCCTTTCGGATCATCCGGGATGGGAGGGGGGGATGGTTCACCAGCCTGGAAAAGACCAAAAACAAACACCAGGTAATATTGGAGGGCAACCCAATAATACACTTGAAACAATAATAGGCTCGCACAATAGTACCAAACAACATACGGCAAAATGGTACAAACTTATCGCAGTATCGCCTACCGCAATGAGCGACACACGCATTTGGCATTAGTCATGCGTCTACAGCAGTAGTGCGGTCGATGCTGCTCAAAGAGGAAGAATACAAAAATGACATGTGTACCCTGGTGTAAGTTATCAAAGGAAATGAAAGCGCACCGTTGTGTAGTTCATGGTGTTTTACCACGTAGGGATACGTTGTAAGGGAAAGCACGCCAGCGCTAAAAGGTAGGCAAGCACTACATATGTTGCGCACCTTTGGTTGTGGGAGCTTGATCCGCTTGAGGTGCCACACACTCTCCTGCGCTCTCCGGGAGCCCTCGTCCTCGATCTTGGAGGCCGGCGCGTAGTGCAGTTCCTTGGACTTCGCTATGAAAGGACGCGCGCCAGGAGTCTGCAATCCGTCCATACCACCACCCAACCCCGACTCCGAGTCATAGTTGCCTGCCTCGACGCTGCCCCCCACTCCAAGAGCTGCACCTGACGCCGTCTTTCGGCCCTTCTGGAGGCCGTCATGATGCTTGCAAAATCCTGCCGTCCTACCTCCAACCTTGTTGCCGCACTTTTCGCCACGTCGTGCGCCACGGCTAATGAACGCGACACGTACAGCCGGATTCACCGGAGAAGAATCCGGTGGGGATGGTTGCTGCTGCTGCTGCTGCTGCTGCTGCTGCTGCTGCTGCTGCTGCTGCTGTTGCGCCTCACGCGAGGTCGTAGGGAACCGGTCCGTGACCGGTAGCTCCGGGGTCCCCTGTTGTTGCCGCTGTTGCCCACCTACACCGCGGGTGTTGTGACCAGCGCCATGCGAGTTCGGTACACTTCCTAGATCCAAGCGCTCCGGCGGAGATGGTTGCTGCTGCTGCTGCTGTTGCCGCTGCCGCTGTTGCGGCCCGAGCAAATTCGTCCGGAGCGACGGCGTGACCGGTGATGCCGGCGCCTGTTGTTGTTGTCGTAGCCGCCGAGCTGCTCCCCGGGTATTGTGACCAGCTTTGTGCGAGTTCGCAGCATATATCGGTTTGTACGATGCGCCCATATCAAACTCAAAGCCATCCTCATCATCAGTCGGCGCGCTTGGGTCGATTGCATATCCGCTGTCCTCTNGGTTTCTGTCGTATCCTCCCCTGTAAGACTAGACCGTCTGTTCGGCGCTATTAGGAAAAAAATATGGAAAAAATGATCAATCAATGATCTGTCAGAATGGCCGCGTTCACAGCAAGTGTGGATGGCTGCCGGAGAGAGACGGCCAAAGCCGATGTGTGAGCAGGAATGGCAACTGGCGCTGCCGGCAGCGCTGCCGCAAGCGCTACCAACAACGCCGCCCAGATAGGCAGGGCAGACCACGCGGGGCGTGGAGGCCTCCTCATGGCCTCTCGGCGCACCTCTGGTGGATGCTCCGTGTGTTTGCAGCTATGTGTTGGTGGGGCGGGTGCGCTCTATCCTGGTGTGCTCTACAACTCCTTTGCATATGGTTCGGGGTTTCTGTCGTATCCTCCCCTGTAAGACTAGACCGTCTGTTCGGCGCTATTAGGAAAAAAATATGGAAAAAATGATCAATCAATGATCTGTCAGAATGGCCGCGTTCACAGCAAGTGTGGATGGCTGCCGGAGAGAGACGGCCAAAGCCGATGTGTGAGCAGGAATGGCAACTGGCGCTGCCGGCAGCGCTGCCGCAAGCGCTACCAACAACGCCGCCCAGATAGGCAGGGCAGACCACGCGGGGCGTGGAGGCCTCCTCATGGCCTCTCGGCGCACCTCTGGTGGNTCTCAGCATATGTATCCAACAGCAATGTTCGCAGACTCACGAACACCCTCCCTGGTTCTTCACGCAAGTGACTAACCATCAATTGGGCAAGAACGCCCCAAGAATACATCANTCATCGCGGTGCCCCCTATCAAACGGTTATCTTATCAGTCTGCGTGACACTCAATCATCCAGCATATGTATCCAACAGCAATGTTCGCAGACTCACGAACACCCTCCCTGGTTCTTCACGCAAGTGACTAACCATCAATTGGGCAAGAACGCCCCAAGAATACATCAGAAAAGACCAACATGGTAACATATGGAGGGGAAACCCGGCGTCCGGGCATAACCCCTCAAGGAAAAACCCTTCCACCACAAAAAACCGTCACTATCACAGCGGCTTACAACGGCCGCACTTACCAAAAAATCCAAGGCAAGTGCTAAAAAACTGCTACATCTACTCCGGCAAATTCATCAGCTTGCGCCGGTGGTACTGCAGACTGACCCTGCTAAGGGCCTTGGTAAGGAGGTCCGCGTGTTGCTCCGTTGTCGGAACAAACTTGACCGAAATATCCCCCGACCTAAACAATCCTCGGATGAAATGATACCTCACGTCGATGTGTTTCGTGCGACCTGAGCTGAGGGGGTTCTGCACCAACGCTATGGCCCCCTGGTTGTCCTCAAGGACCTTGATGCTGCTACCACTGGTCTCTGGGGCGACAAACGAAAGCACAGCACGCACAAACAACGCCTCCTTGACACCCTCCCCGGCAGCAAT